AATAAATAAATAGCAAGAGCACTTCAGTGTAGGGCTGTGGTGCCTTCCAGATGCAACAGCTGTTGTCCCTCCATTTTCATCACTTGGTATGACTAAATTAAATAGCATGAACCAGGATTCTTATTCAAACCTTAAAAGGTTTTCCATAAGCCAGCAGATGAGGGTATTCAAAGCTTTGAGGTTGTCCAGCTACAATTAGCACATGAATCCCAGCCTGAGCAGACACTCATATCCCCTGGCCACAGTCTTCTGTACAGTTGTACTGTACAATTTTTAAAACTGTAGTGATAGGCTCAAAATCTTCATCCATCAATTAGGGTAGTGGTTACCAACCTTGGGTTCCCAGATGTTCTTTGAATTCAACTCCCAGAAATCCTGGCCAGTGCAGTTAGTCATGAAAGCTTCTGGGAGTTGTCGTCCAGGAACATCTGGGGACCCAAGGTTCGGAAGTCACTGTGTCAAGGTATACAAATTATATGAAAGAAGGCACCTATCCTCTTTTTTTCCTGTACTATTTATTTTCTTTGTTTTTTCTTTTTTCTTTGCATTTACTCTGGAAAGGCTGTTACCTTGTAAAAAAATTGCAGCTCCTCTTCATTTTATGAGAAAATTTCATGTGATTTTAGAATATTTCATGTCAATATTGTCATCCTTCTAAATGATTCTTCTGCAACTGCTCCTCTTCTTCTGTATATACACCCAAAAAATGATCAGGATGTTGATAGAACTGTGTGAGTCCAAAGATCCTTCTTTGTCCTATGGTTTCCCTCCACAACTAAGATTTCAGTCCTAGCATTTGATTCAATAATCTGAATGTATGCCCAGAATTCCCAGGGGGGTGGAATAGGAATCTTGTGTCTCATTCACAATGGACAAATAAGGGGTGGGCATTCTTCTCTGTGGTCAAAATCCTGATGTTGAGCATAGTAGATCACACTAGAGTTAGAGTGTCTGGATCAATGAGAATTTTGTGAGTCAACTCCTCTGTAAGTTCCACTGATACAAATGGGCATCCTTTAGTTGCGATTTGCATTAGCATTATACGTTGGAGTTAGACTTGACCCATTTGAATCAATGGAACTCATGGAGGAGGTGATTCACTAAATCCCAGTTGATTCAACTGACCTGTTCTACTGCAACTTACTACAATAAGTAACGGTATTTTGGTCACTATGAGATTGTTCTGCAGGATGTTTTCTCAGAAAATATTGCACAGATCTTGTGCAACAGATTACATAGAAGCCACAGAATGCAGCTGTTTCTTGTGCAAGACACAGCCTGATATATAGAATGTTCTCAGGAGTCAATCAGTGAAAGCTAAGGCAGCGCCAGCAACATGCAGGAATGATAGGGGTCGGCAGGTGGTATTTTATTGGTTGGGACATGATGAATACCTGCTAAATTCCTCACATGGAAAGTGAGTGGGAGCATAGCACGACTGGTTAATGGCTAAAAAAAGAGATGTGGACATACCATCAGAACCTTCTGAAAAACTCAACCAGCAAAGCAACTGTGATTGCTGGTTTGACTAATTTGTTCAAAGTATGAAAAATATGTAATCTACATAAAAAAATCAGCCTCTGCATGAATCTAGTGTTCTTTCCTTTGAGTAGCCAACAGTAAGCACAGAAGGATTTATCATTTAGAAGCACATAAACAACCCAATACATGCTTGTGATCTTTAAAAATCCACAGGGAGGCAGCAGCAATGTATGTTTCAGGGATTTCTGCAATTTCACAATAGATACAATTTGCTTTGAAATGGATAAACTACCAACTTGATCGTCCTGAATCCACACAAGGTAGCAGTTATGTGGGTTGTTGCAGCTTTCCCAAATTGCACAAGCTTTGTGTAACAATTGTGAATTTTTAATAACTAGAAAATCTCACTTTTGTGACAGGGTGAGTGAAAAAAAAATCTTTTTGCAAATATTTGCTGGAGGAGAGAAACAAGGATTTAGACCCCCTAAGCCTTTAAACTGCCAAGCATTGATTGGTGGTCTATAAAAGATGGAAAATATACAGAGGAAATTTGGTACTTTAAACAGAAACATATGCTTTTGCTTTATGTAGAAAATCAGAGCTGATCAGGACAAAAAAGTGTTTTGCACTTGCGCTTGCCATCTAGCTGAGAACTCTTGCAAGAATGCAGATTTTGTCACTGGGGACTCCTTGACAGCAAGAGGAATCATAGGATATATTAATTACATCTCTGATTTAAAGAGATATATTTTTAAATGAAATGAAGTGCAGTTTTGTCCACAGGGTACTTTAGAAATCTCTCTGAATGATGCCCCTAGCGCCCTTAAATGTTTTGTGGAGCAAAGAGAAGTAATAGCATTCTTCCTGTCAAGTGGATGGTTTTCAAGTGAATGAGTGCCACCTGGTGGTCTATCTAGAAATGTTGGAAAAGAATTTTTGCTGTAGTATTCACATACGACACTTCCTCTTCCAAAAAAAACCTTTATATATTACTTGCAGAAGAAAAACAAAAGGGGATGAAACCTATTGTGTTAGAAATGTATACATATTTTCCAGAAACATTCATAACCCAAAGGCAAGATTTCTCAGAGTCAAGGCTAGGAACGTGCATTTGGACAAAAGTATGCATACAGACCAAACAAGGACTTTTGCACAGTGACATGGTGACCCCAGGGTAGAACATGAGGCCCTTAATCACTCATGGAACAACAACCTTCATGGACCCTGCATGTTCAATCCAGACTTCTTGCAGTTAAAACTGGGAAGAAAAGGAAAAGGGGGCACTGCACAAGGAAAGGAACACTGAAGTTCAGGGTCATTCACATGGAGGATTTGTTCAACTTTCCCTATACCTGTCATATCAGTACTGCATCTTGGGGTCAACACCTGATGCAGTACTGAGGCAAAGGTGAAACTAGCATCAATAGAGTCATGAGGGGAAAAAAGCTTGCCCTCTGGGTTTTTGTTTTTCTAACATCATCATTTGGTAGTGATATGTTTTTGTTCTGCTGTGCTCTGCTTTAATCCGGGACACAATCTGCTTGTAGTCCCCAGGACCACACTGATCCATGCTGATGCATGTACTTTATGTATGTGTGTCACTTGATGAGCATGTTTCTGCTGATAAGTGTCCACCCCTCGACAGTGTGACTGCCACTCCTGCTTAATTTTCTTGAGACATCAACTGTCCTTGCATTCTGCTTTGTTGTCTTTACATTTTTAATGTTAAGATGTTTGCAAAACACTGCAAAAGTGACTACTAAAATAAAAATTAGAAAGAATCATTTTGAAAACAAAGATTTGAAAGCAGTGGGCAGAAGAACAAGAAGGAAACAGGGAGAGTAAAGTAGGCAGAGAGAAGGCAGAGAAGGTATCAGTGGTTCCTGCATCCTGCTTTTGAATTTTTAAAGTGTCATCAATTGTACAAAGAGAGTATGGCTTAACGAGAAGCTGACAACATATACCAAGATCCAGGTCTATAGAGCCTGTGTCCTGAGCACACTCCTGTACTGCATTGAGTCCTGGACCCATTGTGCATGACAGGAGAGGAAGTTAAACATGTTCCATATGTGTTGTCTCTGATGCATTTTTGGTATCACCTGGCAGGACAAAGTTCCAAATAGAGTAGTCCTAGAACGAGCTGGAATTTTTTAGCATGTCTACATTACTGAAACAGTGACGTCTACATTGGCTTGGGCATGTCATGAGAATGGCTGACGGTCTTATTCCAAAAGATCTCCTGTATGGAGAATTAGTGCAGGGAAATCACCCCAGAGGGAGACCACAGCTGCCATATAAGGATATTTGCAAACGGGATCTGAAAGCCTTAGGAATGGACCTCAACAGTTGGAAAACTTTGACATCTGAGTGTTCAGCCTGGAGGCAGATGGTACAGCATGGCCTCTCCCAATTTGAAGAGACATTTGTCCAGCAGGCTGAGGCAAAGAAGCAGTCCCGAAACCAGCAAAATCAGGGAGCTGGACAGGGGACAGATTGGATTTGTCTTCAGTGTGGAAGGGATTGTCACTCTCGAACTGGCCTTCTCAGCCACACTTGATGCTGTTCCAAGACCTCTGTTCAGAGCACGTTACCATAGTATCTTGAGAATGAAGGATGCCTACACATGATGATGAATGGTACACCTTAGATCAAAAGTGAAATATATATAAAAATTTGAATTAGAAAATATTGCTTGACAATTTGAAGGATTGAGAAAGGTGGGTGGGGAAAAAGGAAGGAAAGGAAAAGAGTGCAGTAGACTTGGGGAGGAGAGAGAAGATAGGAGTCTGTGACGGGAGTGAGACCTCAAGGAGGAACTGCTGGATAGCTCAGCGGCTTAGGCATCTGGCTGGGAAGCCAAAGGTTGGGAGTTTGATTCCCCACCTTGCCTCCTCAACAGGGGCTGGACTTGATGTTCCATAGGGTCCCATCTAGCTCTGCAGTTCTAGATGATGGTGGTGGTGATTAAATTTGGATGATTAAATCTGATAGGCAGTATCAGAATGACCCAGTCCATCCCGAAATATATATCCTTCTGATATGTAGATGTCAATACCAGGATGATCTAGTCAACTCTAAAACAAAAACAAAGAAAAACAGAGCAATCCCATATGACTGGGGACACCACCACTCTGTGGACGATACTTAAAACACAGTAAGAGGAGACTGAGCTGGCACCATAGGAGAAGAAGATGGACATTTGAATCCCCCAATAATGCCCATTCATTTCCTGCTTGTTCCAACTGCTAAGATGCTAAGGAGGTTCACCAGACTACAGTGGCTGCTCCCCACAGTTCTTTTCTTTTTAAAGCAGTAGTTCAAAGTGGGGGGGGGGCTTCCATGATGTAACACTCTGTCAGGGCTTTGCTTTCACCCTTCCTTTTAAGAACTTTTTTTTTCTACTCGAGCTGTGCATACGTGTGTTTGTGAATGCATGTGTGTGATTTCCCAGCCTCCTCATTGGTTTCTCTTTTTTATTGGTACACTGGCCCCACTGGCAAAATCATTAAGAGCTGCCTCCTGCTTCTCTTTTACTTGTGTTCTTTGGACTGGAGGTGGGCAAATGATTCTGTCCAAAATAATTCTGATGGTGCTGCTGTCTAACACCCAAGCCCAAGTCATAGCTGCTTGCAATGACCCCTTCACGGGAATGGAGTTTTTAATGACTATCTGGAAATCTCTAAATACTGATACAGCTTCAGATGAAGATTGTATTGAGGTCTATCCAAAAGGGTACAGAGTAAACCAGGCCCGGATCTGTGCATCCTTATTCAGGGACAAACCAGGTCAAGGGGTCAGTGCACCTGTGCTGTCAAGATGCTTCTGTATTTTGCATTGAAATATGGCCTTTTTAAAGGAGATTCTGCTTTGCTGGGCTAATCTTTATTTAGAAACAGTGTGTCATTTCCCTCCAACCTAGCAATAAAAATTAAAACTCCTAAAATGTGTCATAAAATGCAAATAAAATTTGTGAAGCAGCAGAGTATGCATACAAACCAATGTCTGCTATAATAATCTCCAAAACGATGTATAATAAATTCAATAATTCAGTCACAGGAGGACTAAACTAACAACCCAAACCAAACAGATTCAAATAGAAGCAGAAATGTAGCCAGGGCTACATATCATCAGACTCCAACCATAATGTAGTTAAACAAATATTTAATAATAGTTGGCTTCTCTCTAGCGATTTTCTCTGGAATTTCTTTGCATAGTTTCTATAGAGAATACTGATGCCGAATCACTGTGATCCAGTGTTTTCTGTGCTGTTCTGTTTTACCCTCCCGGCCCTCACCTAATCTGGGGCTGGTGAAGTTGTTTATATTTTTGCTTTTCGTGTGTGTGAGCATGCACACGCAGACACACACACACACACACACACACAAATGTACATACAAGTTTAGCTGCAGGTCCAGTGTAGGATTACTGAGACTTCCATCAGCTACTATGACTTATAGTTATAGACATTTTGACCCATTACTGCTTCCTGCTTAGCATAACTGAATGGTAAGCAATAAATTGCCCCTTAATTAACCTCAGCAACTTCCGTTCCTGTGGAAGCAGGGTTTTTGTTGTTGTTGTCAAAGTAAAATAGAGCTATGTGTGGGGAAAAGACACACAAAAAGATGCCAGTAATCAAAGCCTTTTCCAGAACAGAAGCCTAGTAAGGAATAATTAAGAGTCATAATAAACCCTCCAACTATGCTGAATTGCAAAGAGGCTACACGAAGACAAAATCTCCAGGGAGGAAGCTATTAATTAATATTGTGAGGACTTTTGCTGAATGGATCTTTCTTACCTGGGAGCACCCTTTGAGATTTCAGTTCATTAATGCTCACTTCCTGTCTTTAGATATAAGCTGGAAGTTGACTTGTGAATTGTGCATGCATGCTGGACATCTAATTGGTTGCCATATTTGGTGGTATGAACATTTTAACTCTCTTCTCTTGAAAACAGGAGCTGTCTTGTGCAAAACGGTCTTGTTCCCCAGTCTTTATAAATATCAAAGTTGACAGGTGGCTACACATTTCTGTGGCTGCGGAAATCATCTATCCTGGCTATTTGCCTAAACTACCATTTGGCCACAAATTTTGTGAGGGTCAAAAAGAGATATTGCATAGTCTGCTACATGGAATAACTGTTAAATGGGCAACAGTTGCTTTATCACTAGTTGGTAAAGCAGTGTGTGTGTGTGTGGAGGTCATCTTTTTCTCATGCCACTGAGAATGCTGTGTTTGTTGTGAGTAACAAAATTTGCAAGAAAGCTAGCAGTTCTTTGAGACATGTTAATCTATAACCCTGTAAATGGTTCAAATCATGTAAATGTTGTCATAAACTGAGTATTCTACATTAAGGAAAGACATGGCTTAAGCATAAATGGCTTATGACTTGAATACGTCCCTTCACTGAAGTTTTGGGTTGAAATGAAGCCCATCCCTGGGCCAAGGAATGGGCACATTGATCCAGGAGATACACTATTCAGGAGGAGGTGATCATGTGTGACTACACTCTGCTTTTGTTTCATTTGGAATCAGGAACCAAGTAGAATATGGCCACTTTCCCCCAGAGTTCCCCTTACTGCCAGTTCTTCCATCAAATAAGCTCTGTTAGTTAGAATCAAGTCAAGGATAGAGCTAGTTCTCTAGTTTCTCCATCCACTTTTTATAGGAGCAAACTATCAGCAACAGAAGCCAGGAATTTCTTGGAAGGGCCATATTTGGCAGAGTTTGTTTACTAACAGATATCATAATTGGAATTCCCCCATTGCTACCACTTTATGCCCTTTTGAAATTCTTGCGATCTGTTTTTTGAAGGTTTCATCTGCATCTGGAAGTCGAGTCATGGCAACTGGACTTCTTTCTTGTTAGGTTGAAACGTTTCGCTACTCATCCAAGTAGCTTCTTCAGTCTGAGGAGAGTTGGTAGGAGACCCCTGATATACCCAAGATATACTCATTATGGACCAGGAAGATCAGTGGTTTTGGAGAGAGATCAGGGAGGTCATGTGCATATAGAGAATCCCTCACTCAACAGGGATGGAGGCCTTAGATGCAACCTGTCTCCTGTTTATCATGCTGCCCTTTCATCCATCCCCAGACAGATCAGGACCACACACCGGAAAGACCACTGTTAATAACCCATGACAATGAGTTGAGAAGGACTGCAGAGGTGAGATTAGACCGGGGGGAGTGAAACCAAGTGGAGGATATATATCAGTGGTCTCCTACCAACTCTCCTCAGACTGTCATGACTCAACTTCCAGATAACATCACCTGGATGATTGAGAATCTTCACAGATATATTTCATCTGCATCTTCTCCTTGATTGTGCAGTTGGTAGTAGACTCCAACTACCACATTCCTTTTAAATTTTGCCCCATTTATATTAATCCAGATGCTCTTGGTGAGAGAGCTAAACTCATCTTTCCATATTTCTTTGTGGGAATATGTTGTGGGTGTGTTTTTTTAAATTATCATATAGTGCAACTGCACCTCCTTGGCTATTCTTTTAGACATTTTTAGCAGTTGCTGTATTCCAGTCATGGGAGTCATCCCACCAGGTTTCAGTTATCCCTATCAAGTCTTATTTACTCTCATGAACTCTCATGAATTCAACTTTCCTATTTGTTTCCCATACTACTGGCATTCATGTATAAACACCATAGATTGTGTGCTTGGTGGCCTGCTTTTCTTTGTACAAGACTATTATTGGGCCCCATTAGAGCTATTCAGTCTGTTTATCTTACTATACATAAACATCTGTCTTTACCCCTGAACTTGCATCTCCCTCCCAAATCAGTTTAATGCCCTCCTGGACGTTCTTGTGGCCAAACACATTCTTCCCAGTCCTTGAGATGTGCAGTCCATCACTTGCCAGCAGTCCATTTTCCAGGAAGCATAGCCCACAGTCCCAGAATCCAAATCTCTAACATCAGCACCATCTTTGTAGCCATTCATTTACCCAGAATATTTCTTTTTCTCTTTCTACAGCTCTTCTGGGTGCTGGTTGGGTGGACAAGAAGACTACGGGGGCCCCAACCTTGAGTTTGCTTCCCAAATTCTGATTAAGACAGATAAAAATGTTTAGAAATCCATCTTGTATTGACCAATGGGAACAGTCCCATGCTGCCACTCGGTAGCATCTTCTACTATCTTTCCCCCTCTTTCTATTTCTTATGGAAAATGTTTATCATTATTTTAAATCAGTGGAGTGTCACTGAAGCAAGTCGATATACCAAATCCTGGCCACTCATGATCTACTGAGGAGATGCAGCACCAGTTCCCATGTGAGAACTCTTGTCAATCAATCTCTTTCAACTGCATTTGCTTTAACAGACAACAATACTAGAACAAGCCATTAAGAACACCCAGGAGAGCTATGATGATGAGCTTCAGCTGTATAATGATCAGATTGACACTCTGAGGAAGGGCATAGAAGATGCCGAGAGGACCTTGGAAAAATACACCAATGACTGCCGTCAGCTCTCCATTTATAGGCAGTCCTTGGAGAGTGAACTGGAGCGCTACAAACGTATTATTGAAAATGAGGACTGTAGGTAAGGCTATCCTTTTATCTTACAAAGACCAAAGTATTGTGTTTTTAAGGGTTTTAATACACACACTGTAATGGTGGCGGGCATATTGCTCATTATTTTCAAAAAGTTTTTTTTACCTCATTTGCTTCTTTGTTTTCCCCAACTAAGCTACACCCAGGAGATTCCTGGTGAAGGATGCTGTAGAGTCTCCGTTTGACTTTCAAGCATAGATGGACAAATATATTTAAAACATCATTCTTGTTTAAGCAATTGGTGAAAATTACATGTTTTCCCACTCTCTCTTGTAGGTTGAATTCTGCCATTGTTGGAACCCCTGTAACATTGTTTACTACAACTCAGGCTTACAGACCTCCACAGAGTCCTGCCATGAGAGCAAGAGGTAAGGCCTGGGGTCTCTGGTTCAAGAGGCTAGCATGCCTGTGATGCACCTTGGCATATGTCTGACTATTGCTCATGTCACCAATTGTAATGACTCATTTGCCCATTAACTCATGGGTATTGGGGAAATGACAATGCTATTAAATAAAATAATATATATAGGGCAAAGGAACACATCAGAGATGAATGGTTTGGGTTTTGCTTTAGAATATGTGCATGGTGCATAATGTGTGTGTGTGTAGTTTCATCTTTCTGTCACAACCCCCTTAATAGTCTGATCCAACTCAGGCACAACATGCAACCAAATTATATGGCAAATGGTGTTCCATTGGTACCAATCAAATCCCCCCATTTTGTAGTTTTCTTGTGTGTGGGGGGGAGAGGGTGGTGTGTGTGCGCGCACTTGTGTGTGTGTGTGTGTGTGTGTGTGTGTGGAGCTATGCAGATTATTTACCCTCCTTTATGAATATGTGGCTAGCCTGGCATGCTTGCTTGCAATTAAGAAATTACATAAGACTTCACATTCTAGTTTAACACCCAGATATGTCTTCGTTAGTTTCAGGCAGTTCCTATAGTCACCCATTTTCTTATTTTATGACCCTAGTAAACCAGGTTAAAAATGTACTATTTAAAACTGCTTATGTGTTTGTGTCAAAGCTTGGCAAGGTGATCTTTTTTTTGGATTACCTGTCCTAGAATCTCCCATGCCACACGGAGGGGAAAAACAGTAATGTTTCCATTCAGTGCTTGGGGGTATAGGATACTGATCTCTCGGTCCAGAAAACAACTTCTGAAGGGCTGTTTTACAAGTGTTCTTTTGAGACAATTAGAAGAGAAATCAAAGCAAAGCAAACAACTTGTTCTCCTCAATGGCTCGTCTGGCTAGATCTGTTGGGAGCTGCTGTTGAAGGAAACACCCGGTTTGCAGGATGATTCCTCCCTCCATTTTTTGTCGTGCTCTGATGCCAGAACATTCAAAAATCCATTCTAAGCCCATAGTTTTGTGATGTATCTACTTAAGTATAACAGCCTGTCCTTAGGCAAATATTTATATCACTGTCACAATTAATATCAGCACTAATGGTTGTTGTGGGTTTTCCTAGCTGCTTGGCTGTGTTGTTAAGGTTTTACAATATTCGAATACAATATTAGCACCCTTAGAGCAGATAGCTGTTCATTATGCCTCTCATTATCTGCCGGTTATGTGGCATGTTGTGTTTGTTTTCCTCTTGTTCTCCTTCACTGCAGACTTAACCATGGCTATGCAAGACATTGCTAATGCAAAGCCAAGACAAAGAAGCCTGCCAAAGAAAATATCAAGGAGAAAGGAGATCACACCTAAAGAGCTCACCAGTGGTGCTTCATCTGAAAAAACGTATGACTCAACTGCAGAAGGCTTCAAAGAGGAAGGATTATTGGTGACCAGTCAATATGGGCAAGATGGTCCAGCTGCCGAAGAAGAAGAACAAGAAAGAGCTGGAGAGGATGTGCCTGATGGAGCGCAGATCAGCAAAGCTTTTGATAAGCTGTGCAATATAGTGAGAGAAAGAATCCGATGCTACCAGCGACCAGAAGCCAAAACTGAAATCTATACTAAAGGGCGTTATGTACTTGTCACAGGAGAGGGAAGCTATGATGATGCCTCCTTCCAGTCCGTTTCTGTTCCTCCTAGAAACGGTGAGGTCACTGTTTCGGACCGTGAAGGAAAAATGCCAAGTGAAGAAGGTGTAGAACTAATTCCAGGGATACCTGGACCACTTGAGCATGAAAAAGATGGACCGGAAGCCCCTGGAAAGGAAGAGATGTATGACATAAAAGACATGGAATATGAGCAGAAACCAAAAGGCAAAGAAAAGGAGGAGGCATTTGAACAGGAGGCAAAACCTGAAGAGAAAGAGCCCACTAGACAGGCAGCCACAACAGAACCTGAACAAGTTCCCACACCAGGTCCGAGTGACCGAATAGAAGCAGGGATTTATGTAAGCAAAGAAGAGAAAAAAGAAGGAGGCCCTTTTTTCAGGGCAGTGACCCCACCAAGTACCCTGAGTTACGAGAAGGTGGAAGTGATGGAATCCATTGAGCAATTCTCCGACGACAAAATCCAAACATATGAAGAAACAGCTATGATTGTGGAGACCATGATTGAGAAGACCGGCAAGAAGCTGGGAGATAAAAGCTCGTAATGTGCCTTCTCAATTTGTCCTGCTTACAGCCACTCATGTTGTAAAACCTTGTTGCTTCCCTCATGATACCTCTAGTAAGATCAGTGGAACTCTGCCAGAGTGAATGGTTTGAGGACTATAGGCTAAAATATCTGCTTTGCTTGATCCCTTCTCCCTGCCCTTTCTTTCATCTTCTGGCAAAAAGGTGAAGAAAAAAAAAAAACAGCTTTGCTCTTGGCATGAAGTTGGATTTGTCTGTTTATGGCAAAATACTGGATCCTTTGATATCTCAAAGCCAAATGATGTGTTATTCACTGTGGTGTGGCTGCTGTTGGGTGGTTCCCCACACACTCTTCAAACTCATTCATTTATAGCCATGCAAGCCCTCCATTTGTACGTGACCTTCCCAGCAACAAGCACAACCATAGAAGAAGGCAGCCACACCACAGATTATAGTTTGAATGTAAAACCTTGATTTGTCCCCAGCCCTAAATATGGATTTGCCATTTTAGTTAGAATTTTTAAAAATTAATTTAATTTCAAATTAAGTTGCTCCAATCTAGCAACAGACATTCAGCTAAGCTGCTCACAGTCCACTGAGGAACAGCCGTTAATGTGGATATGCAGTAGGAAGGAAAACTCATTCCCTTCTAGGATCACCTTGTTTTCTGCACCAGAACATGACTTGGGTTGGATTGGAACTGGTGTGTTTGAAGTCATGGCATTTAGATGTGTCAAATGTAATTATTAGAACTGATTGACTTCTTTTTGGGGTGATTATTAGACAATACTGATACTTGGATTTTGATTCCTGTTCCGGTTATGAGTAATATAGCTGGTGCCATATGGTTGATTTCTCTTTAATAAAAGTTTTAACTGTGACAAAAAAAATTGACATTTAACCAAAATCACTTATCTAATCTAAGAGTGAAATCCTGTGCATGTTTACCTGAGAGCAAGGAGCACTGATCTCCGGTGAGCTTACATCAGAGAAGACATTGTGGGATGATGCTTCCAGTATAGTATTTGGCTTTAAGCTGTGTTGATGAATGAGATAGAGACAATTTCTTTCTGAATTCTGCCACACCAACCAGTTGTGTGGATAGAGATGTAATACATTTTAGAGAAATTCAAGGTCTGTTACTTCTCCCAGTTATGCGTGGGAAGGAAAGATATTATTGGCAACTGCTTACAAATATTGATTGTGGAAGCAGATATGGTTGAGTCCTTTTTTTTACTTATTTATTTATTTAACAGCATTTACATTCCACCTTTGGCCCAATCACATGGTATATTACCAAATGGCTGGTTTGGTGGCGCAAGAGAAACTTACATTAAGATATTAAAAATTCTATGAAACATATAGCAATAGACCATTCAAACATAAAAACCAGTGTCCACACATTATGGGGGGGGGGGAAGAATTACAGATGTACATATTAGGATGAGTTTTAACAAAGAAAAAAGAAGCTCCATATCCCATGTGAAAAAACCCTCTGTGAAGCCCAGACAATGTTCAAAAGCTGAACTGAAAAGGAAGGTCTTTGTCTGCTGGAAGAAGGACAGAAGGTGGGGGTGAACCTAATTCCACAGCCAGGCAGCAGCCACAGAAAAGTCCATCATTTTAGTTATGTGACCAAATATGCCAGTGAAGCTGATAGGGCCAAGAGAAGGGCCTCTTGAAAATATCTTGGAACTGGGGTAGGTCAATGCCTATTTTAAATGCATACCAAAACAAGTGCACAATCCTAGTCCAGAGACCTTCCCCTGCTTTCCCATCATGAAGTAAACAAGTGGTGCTACTAGCTCTTGAGTGAAAAGTAAATAACATTCCTGTACTCCATTCCAGCTTCCACTGCATGTCCACAAAGAGCTAGTTCAGCAGACATGATACTCAGTTGTGGGGCTCTTCTCATATATAGGTGGTTGCTAGATATAGGGTTCTTATAATATTCAGAAGTTGCCATTGCTTGGCATTTGCTTAGATCTCAGCATGCCCGAAGAGCCTATACTTGACATTTTGTGGTCCCATGGCAGGTTCAAAGTGACCTTACCTTGTTTCTTGGGCAATAGTGGGGGATCGGTCCTCTTGGCAGCACTGGGCCTTTCAAGGGCCCACCCAGTCTTGGTGCTGTGTGGCACTGCCACCAGCAAGAGTGACTTCTTTTAGGGCCAAAATGCCTTGTTTGGCCATTTGCTATATTCATGTGAAGGCTGAGATATCCTGTATCTGAAGGTAACTTCATGGGAGGTAAAGTGCTGTGCCCACACGAAACATGTGAAGGAGCATGGGGCTTTTTGATTAACATGGCAGTTCTCAAATGGGGGATTCAATATTACCAAACAATAGATCACAAGGCTGCTGAAAATGAGCTATGGAGGGCTTTTTGTTTATGTGTTGGGAGGAGTCAGCATGTAAGATCAACAAATGGGCTGCGAGTCCACAGCCAATAAAACTTTTCTAAGGGTTCTCTTCCTAAAGCTTCAAGAAATATTGCAGTTGTGAGGTCCATGAAACTAAGTTTACTATAAAACTGCACATCACAGAATTCCAAGAGTAAAGGACTGTGAGATGACTGTCTTCCCTGATTATGGATTAAGTATCCTAATCTAATAATATCTCTTTAGGGATGTGGGAGCTCTGCTGGCATATTTTGTCAACAATAGACTATTCCCGTTCTTAATGAAGGCAAATCATTCGAACCTTTATATGGATCAGGTCCATATAATGAAAAAGACAGTCCACACATGCAAGAGAGCTCTTTGTGTGTATCTGGAATTCTGGATCAAGAGGGGAATGCAATACCAAGCTCATTGGACATGTCAGTGGAGACACTCCCGCACATAAAGAGGTATACAAATTTCACCTATGCAAAAATTTTCTATTTGTTTGTATGCTAATGAATTAGTTTGGTGAGAAAGTCTGATGCAGTGTTACTAGATTTACAGTATGTCTACTAGCTTCTGCAGAATAAGGCCATTCTAACTCTAGTTCTTTTTTAGGTGCTTTTTGGGGCATTTAGAACTATCTTTCTGAAATTGTCTGGTCAACAAGCATTCAAGTCTTGGCAATGTTTTAGAAGATGCTGATCTTTCAACAGAACTCTGAATGTTTTTTTTTCTGGAGTACATCTTCTACAACCCACTCGGTCAGCATGATTAGTGGCTAGGTAATGGGTTTTATGGAAGTTGCAGACCAAAATCAGGACACTTTTCTAAGCATTGCTATGAATGCTGCACTAAAACCAGCTGAGACAATGGCTTCTGCCACTCTGAAACCACAATACTTTAAGCCAGGCTGCTCTAGAATGAACCTCGGTGAAGCTTTCTATTGCTTGGCCTGGATTTGGCTGTCAAATTGAAGCTGAAATGTATATGAGCAGTGTGTCCAGTGGAAATAAAATGCTCTGCAGAAAAAGCAAATAAATAAATATTCAAAACATTTAAAAATTGTCACCTCTCATTTAAATGTTACCTGTAAATGTTGGAATTTCAAAAGGAGGATCCTCACATTTCCGGGTAGCTTCGATTCTATTTGAACATGAATCAGTCCTTGCTGATTCAAGGTCAGTGGGATATATAAGGAGTGGTTTTACCAGTTCCACTCCCACAGTGAGTTTCCCTGGCCAAATACAGATTTGAACCCTGCTCTCCAGAATCCTAGTCTGTCACTTTGTCTACTACACTACACCACCCTGGGGATCCCTAGAAGAAGGTATGGCCAGACAAATAAGTGTTGGTTGCAGACAAATTAATGTAGATTTGCTACACGTTTTTACTGTAGTTTTGAAAGGGAACTGCCAATAAAATTTGTATTTCACAGTAGGATTAGAAGGAATTTGTAGGTGTGCTGACTTCTTCTCAGGAGATTACGCCTGCCAAATTGCACATGTTTTCACTGTAAGCTTTTCTATTTGGAAGATACCTTTTAAAAGACATTATCACTCCATGTTTGGGTTGTGTACCTTTTTTTAAAAAAAAAAAAGTCAACAACAGTGTTTATCTTGAGTAACAACCTGCAAAATTTTGGAAAGATAGGTTTAAGGGCTAGGAGTGCTCACTCTTTAAAAGTTCCATCTTTTTGAAGTAGGAAAGACTTGGCAGCATAAAGAAAGGGGAACCCATTGTCGAAAGTCACAGTTCTTCCTTCAAAGCTCAGCTAGTCCATGGATTGGAAGGTGGACACGTCAGTCACTCAGTCTCACACTTTCTCTTTCCACCTTCTTCTTTTGAGGGTTTTTTCATAGAAAATGAATCGTTTTTGGTGTCAGACTGCCTGCCTTTCCAAATCAAAAGCTCTGATGAGGATCTAGCTTAGGTTCAAGTTCAGCCCTCTTAGGTTGCTGGATGGATGTGCAAAGCTCCTTAGCTAATCTTCCACACCCCCACAGCCAGCATCTGTACATGGGGACTTCCACACAGACTCATGCACTTCAAATGTAGTGAAACATCGTGAAGCTTGTTGTATGGGGGTCTGTTGTAACAGGGTCTGCTGCTTTTTAATATTTTGGCTCATGTTATAAAACATCAGCACATGGCTTTGTAGTATACCAAGGTTCACTGCTAGGAACAACCCCATGAATCTCACTTCAAAACAACTAGAAATGAGAATGAATTATTATTATTTTGCATCAGCAATACCACAAAAAAGGTACCTTTAACTGAAAGTATTTCTCAGTCCTTACTTTGATGCAAATAATACAATATTATCTAAGGAACTGAAAGTATAGTATATCTCTGCTGTACATACATGTGATAATAATCATAATAATACTATCAAAAGTGCCATCACTTCAGTTCAGAGTATGAAAATATATACACTCATTCAGTTAGCTATATACTGCTATGTATATAGGACATTTAGAGTTCAGATGGAAAAAGGCAAAGTTAAATCAAAACCATGGCATCTATTGACAAACAGTCAAGGAATACCTTATTGCTTTGATCAAATTCATATCTCCAGGGCCAGAGGAACTGCATCTAAGAATACTGAAGGAACTGGATGAAAAACTCTCAGAACCACTGTATTATTTTCTTGAAAGCGTGGAGGACAAGTGAAGTAGCAGATGATTGAAGGAGAGCTAACATTCCTGTCTTC